CCCACTCCTCTTGAGATGTGCATGACAATCTCTTTCTTTCTTATTTTTAACCTTGATTATACAATGTCACAGTAGTCCTGAAGATCAGATTGATGCATACCTGTATTAACTAATAGATGAGCCGTGAATTCTTTGAGAAAGAGGCGTTACAACTTATGATGTTATCATGAAACACCATTTTCTGATGAAAACAATATTAATGTGGACAATAAGTGATTTTCCATCATATGAAATGTTATCTGGGTGGAAAATTAGCATGTTCATATTGCATAAATTCATCTAAGATATTCACGCTTCAACATGGCAAAAAGAATTCATGTTTTGATTGTCACCGTATAATTTTAGATATTGAGAAGCCCTTCAGGAGGAATAGACGTGCATTCAGAAGAAACCAAATTGAGAATTCAATGTCACCTCCAGTAGTATCGTAGAAGTAAAAGTGAACAGCATATATAATAAATTTAATCCTTTCATTTTAGCAAGACAAGCAAGTCATATATTTTATTCTCCATATCCTCATAGAATAATAGATAAAGTTGAGTGGGCAGTAATCATAGTCGATAAACCTACAACAACTATTAATATTAATAATTAATTTGAACTCGCTCATTAGGAAATAGAAATAGTAGAGTCTTACATTCCGCTTGAAATAATAGTCAATTTAGTGGATGATACCGACTAACAGGAAGAAATTGATATTGATGAACTAAACTTTGATGATGTTTTGGATGAATTAAATTTAACTACATCTTCAATTGACTCACTAGAAGAGGTTAACTAAAATGTGTAAGTTAATACAACTGTGTAATTTTGTGTTTTTAGTTTTAATGTTGTACGTATAGATTGCACTTTACAGTTTTATTTAGTTTTTACTTTGTATTTCTGTGTATTCAGTTTCGATAGTTTGCAGATTTCACTTTACAGTTTTATTGTGGTTTAATGCAATTATTTCTTTTCTTATTATTGTATATGATTTATGTGTTAATTAGTTTTGTAACTATGTTGTGATGTGTGTTGATTGCAATTCTGTAGGTTGTAGTGTTGAAGAGGGCCATTAATTTTTTTCTGATGCTACAGGTTTTTTATAACTTACCGATAATTTTACGACTGCTTGAGTACATATCGACGATTTTCGATAGCCTATCCAAAAAGTGACGTACGAACATAATGTTGCACTTTTGCTACAGATTAAAACATCTATAAATTTCCACGGTTAACTGACGATTCTACTATACTTTTCAGACAGAACCGCGACACTTTTCTGACGGAAGTGCAACACTTTGCCTACGGATATATCCATCGGTTACATAACTGGTGGTCAATCGATGGTTAAACATGTTATTTTTTGGGGTTGTTAGCGGCGATTACGATCTGTCGGTTACCCGTCGCTTACGATAAACCGTCACTAAATCCATAGGTAATTTTATTACTGACAAGTGTTTTTGTTAAGTCCATTAAACTGTCGTTGAACCGTTGTTAAGTTTATTACCTACGATATTTACATTATTATTGACGGTTTTTGACCGTCGATAATAAGCTAAATTCCTGTGGTGTTAACCTTTTTCCTTTTCATATAAATGGAATGTTATGTTCTTTCAAGCCTAACCATTAATATCATTGGTTAGATATTTTTGATGAAAAAAAAGGATTAAGATAATGATGATTGATTAGTGTAGTTGTATTTTTCAATTATTTTTAGAAGCATGCATGTAATATTCGCTCGCAAATGCAAAGTGTCATAAAAGATTATTTTTATATGCATAAACACTATGTATCATTTTGCTTTCTGTCGTGCATTAATTACAAAAATCTCCTAAGAACATTTTTGATTTATAATTAAGGACCTTGCCCAATAACCCCCCTTTGTTATCCCTTTTAAAAGTAGAGATATTGCCTATCACTTGCTCTTATTGTGTCAATAGAGTCAACCATGAATCTTTTAATGAAGACTTCCAAGGAAAAAATGCCTCATGGAATGAATTACATATATCGACTGCATCATAATAGTTAATTAAAAGGGTTATATGAACTGTTAATTAAAGATAAAGGGGTCGCATTAGGGTTTTGTTGGATTGAGTCATGCATCTATATTGAAGCCTCTTTTTCTAAACATTATAATTTGTAGAGTTGTTAATTAGCTAAAATAGTCATTTACGATTGTCTTATATACTCTATCATTGGCACAACAAATTTGTAACATGGGCTCATAAAATTTAACGACACTATTGAATGCTCTTTAGACCTAATTCAAAATTGATGTATCAAAACGGTCTAAAATCATCCTTCATTGTCAATATTGTAAATCTATTTATTAGGATTAAGTATGGACTTGAAGAGACAAGCCTTACTTAATTGACAAAATAAATACTAACACAGAACAAATACATTCTGTCAAATGTATCACTGCCTTCAATTTAATGGACAACAAGTGTGGCATAAATGGAGAGTGCATATTTAGCAAAATTTAATGATCACCATTCAATACAAAATACCGACATTCGACTTCCTCATAATTTTGTGAAGCCACATAACATCATACCAAAATTCTCAAATTCATGCAACCCAAGACAACAACAACAACAACAAAACCTTTACACAAAGTGGGATCGGCTACATGAATTCATGCAACCAAAGACATGTAATAATATTTCATATATATATATATATATATATATATATAT